CCCTCGCACCGGCTTGCCGGATTTGCACTCTGCCTGCAGTCCCAATTTTCTCCTTAGAGGGCAGCAGCGGGGCGTCTCTGGGACGCATGCGCTCCAATTTGCGCCCGGGGAATTAAAAGAAAGGGAGAAGAAAAGCTCTCCCAAAACACAAGCTCCGGACAAAATCCAAGTGGCGGGGAGGCGCGCGGCCTGCACCTCCGGGCCTTGGAGCGCCTCCGCCCTCGTCCGCGTCCCTGGCCTCGGCGTGATGCGCACTGACTGGCCCGACACGCAGTGGTCGCCACTGTCCCCGCACCTGGACGCTGGGGTGGCCGCGTCCCAGGCGCGAGCGCGCGCTCAGACTCCCGCGCCGGCGAGGATTCTCGCTCTCCATGGGGTTGAGGGCCTGGCTTCGGACCGCCTGCTGCTTCTGCCACTGTCCTTGCCTGGAGGAGCCCTCTCTGCCCGAGAAGGAGCCCTTTCAGGTGGGTTCGCACTGACTGGCCCGACACGCAGTGGTCGCCACTGTCCCCGCACCTGGACGCTGGGGTGGCCGCGTCCCAGGGGCGATCGCGCGCTCAGACTCCCGCGCCGGCGAGGATTCTCGCTCTCCATGGGGTTGAGGGCCTGGCTTCGGACCGCCTGCTGCTTCTGCCACTGTCCTTGCCTGGAGGAGCCCTCTCTGCCCGAGAAGGAGCCCTTGTTCAGGTGGGTGCGCCGAGATCTGGGGTCACCTGGCCGCAGCCTGGTACCGCGGGTGTGGATCTATGCCCCTCTGAACTGGGGCGGTGGGCTTTGTGTTAGGTCACACTGACATTAGTTCAGCCTCTCGGTGCCTTACCGGGTCTCTTGCACGAAATTTTTTAGACTTAGAGGGACCTTCGGTAAGATTGTTTTGACCAAAAGTGCAAATCCTGAGACCCAGGCGGATGCCTTGTGGGACATGCCAAAGACTCGGGGACAGTGCCTTGAACGTGGAAGATCAGGGGAGAGTGTTTTTTTTGGGGGGGGGTCATAAAACACAAGTGTGGGTATTCGTGAGGTATATCACAGCAAAGTAAGCAACTGTGGATATCTGTGACACTCAGCAAAGAAGTTGAAGAGTTGGTCATTCATTTTATTACCAAAAGAAGAGGATTTCAGAGACTGAGAACGAGGAAATCTTTTCACATAAAAAAATCATACTGTGTCAGAGACAGCCTGTTTAGTAAGATGTTGATTCATTATAGGTTAAATTATGAAATGTGAGGAAATGTAATTAATGCTTATTAGCTATGTGCTAAGAGGCTTTGTGAAGAAATCCTAAACTACAGTTTTGTTTAGGGCTGTGATTTTTCAGCAATGATTTTATGTCTTGAGTTGCCTGAAATTAAGACCCCACTAGGTCATTCCTTGGGGGTACATATGACAGAAACAGCATATTTAAAATTGATTTAGGAGCGTCTATGAGGTGATATTCAAGGTTTGAGTAAGCAAATGGTGAAGCTAGAGTTTCCTTCTAATGTAGTGTTCAACTAATGTAATAATGCTTTCACAACTCTTTCTAAAGCATGACTTATCTTTTTTTATTCTATCAAGTCCAAACACTGCCCTCAACTTTCAAGATCTTACATAACCCCTTCCTGCTTGTGCGTTCGTGTGCGTTCGTATTTTCCAATACAGTAAACACCCTGGGGGCCGGGGATTTAGCTCAGCGGTTAGGTGACCTGCCTTGCAAGCGCAAGGACCTGAGTTCGATCCCCGGTAACAAAACAAAACAAAAAACCCCACACTGCTCCTTGCCAGTGTAGGAACGATCCACTCTTAGTCTCTCCACATTTGCCTCTAGAGGTGACCTTCTGCCTTGCTTGTCTTCTCAAGCAGTCTTCTTTGAGTACATTGCCCTTTGTTCATCATCTTCTCCTGTGATTTAGGACTTGTAATTTATCATTTGTTCCAAGTTTACTCCTTAGTGAGCACACATGTATGTCATGTGTAATACATACATACATACATATATATATATATATATAATACATAATATTTTTATTGGTTTTGCTGCTAGTATTTAGATTTCTAGATTACTGTGGGTAGGGAGAAAATGAATCTTCTATCCTTAGTTTAAAAGGCAGTGGGTAAGAATCTAGAACTTACTGCTTTGAGTTATAGACTTACAATGCTTTTAGTTACCTTGAATTTCAGCCTTCTGCTTAGTTTCATCCTCAGATCCTTGGGTGCTTCCAGTATTCTTTCTAGGATTGCTATTTTAGTTAATAATTTTGGCTCTTTTAAAATCTAGACCCTTTCTTATCTTGGCTTATGTGCAGTGGATGTGAATCAGTGAGTTGTGCAAGTGATTTTAAGAAGACAGGGCCAGGAAAAAAAAAAGAAGACAGGGCCAGTTTGAGCAACATAGCATATTATAATGAATCAGATTGCCTGGACTGAGTCACCTAACAGGATGAGTGGGCATAAGGTATTAAACTTATTTGTGCCTCAGTGTCCTCATTTGTAAAATGGGGAAGATAATAGTATACACCTCGAACGATTGCAGTGAGAAATGAAAGGAGATAATATGTGTCAAGTGCTTAATACAGTGTCTGACACATAATAAACACTCAATAAATTTTAGTTGTTATTAATTATTGTTATTCTTCTGAGCATGTGAATATGAGTGGACTGGCCTCATGTGGCTCAATCTGGCACCATTTCAAGGTCACTACTTATAAGAGCAGCTTATTAGTGGGCAAATGGAACAATGCTATGTGTGCACATGGTACCTGCATGTTTTTTCTAGTACAAGTCAGTTGAAGATCTGGTTTGAAATTTTTCTGTTGTTTACTTTTAATTTTTTAAATATACAATTCAGTGATTTTTGGTATATGCCCAAAGTAAATACACGAATGCAGTGCATATTCTTCAACCTACAAAGAAGCACTATACTCTTTAGCAGTCACATTTCCCTCTCCTCCCGCTCCTTACCATACCACCCTCGGCACTATGAATTTTCCTTTTTTTTTTAGTACTGGGACCTTTTTAGAACTTGGGATCTTCCACTTTTGAGGCTGGTGGCAGAAACACTGAGCTAAATCCCTGGCCCCTGGATTTTCCTATTCTTAACGTTTGGTATAAATGGAGTCCTACAATATGTGGCCTTTTATGTCTGGCTTCTTGCACTTAGTGTAAGTTTTTAAGAGTTGTGTTGTAGCACATATCAGCACGCCACTCCTTTTTTATGGCCGAATGATATTCCATATATGGTTATAACACATTTTGTTATTTGTTTGTCCATTGATGGATATTTAGGTTGTTTTTACATTTGGGTCATTCTGGTTTGTTTTTTTTTTGGTACTAGGGATTGGACCAGCCCATGGTTTGGTCATTCTGAGTAATACTGCTGTGAACATGTGTGGCCATGGTTTTGGTTCCCATGGATAAAGTCTTGGGAGTGGAATTGATGGGTTATATAGTAACTGTTTAACTTTTGAGGATTTTCTGTATTGTTTCCTGAAGAGATTGGTGTGAAATATTGATATAGTGAAGTCATGTGGCCAGATGGTCTGAATTATTATTTTATTGAGTGCTTCATTCTTTGTGACTTTTCCTCCCATGTCTAAAAATATAACCGAATCCTTTGCTGTCTACAAGAACGGTTTTCAAGTTTTATTATATTCCCCAGGGCAGGGCTGCCTAGCAGCGGTGCCATCAGGGAACATAACACTTGTTATCTGTGTGCCTGGTCACCTCCAGTCTTTTCTCAAAACACAGGAGGGAGCCAGGCATGGTGGTGCACATCTATAATCCCAACACTCCTGAGGCTGAGGCAGGAGGATCACCATGAGTTCGAGAACAGCCTGGGCTACATAGCTTGTTCCAGGTCAGTCTCAACTATATAGTGAGACCCTGCCTCAAAAACAAACAAACAAACAAACAAACAAAAAAACCAACCAACCAAACCAAACCAAACCAAAACCAAAAACCAAAAAACACAGGAAGGACTCTTGTTATTTTGGGAAAATCGGCTCTTAGTCTTAGCTCGTTTGCGATTCTGACAATGCCACTTTCATTTATTTTTTCCAGCACTGGGGATCAAACTCAGGACCTTGCTCTTATGAGGGAGGTGCTAAGCTGAGCTAAATCCCTGGCCTGCCTCTTACATTTTTGCCACTGGCCCTTTTGCTTTTTCTGGAACCTTGAACCTATAGGGGCAAGAAAGTCTGTACCTTCTCTGATATACATCTGTGCTTCTCTCACCCACTGGATTGTTTTCCTTTCCCCTTTATCTAGCAGTATTCCGAAGAGTGCCTGACTCACAGTTCATCTTGAAGTCACCATGGCCTTCAATGACCATTCGCTGCTGTCCTTTGCCTCACACACAAATGTCTTTAAAGAGTTGGCAACTGTATCCCTCATCTCCTTCTTCACTGGTATTATTTTTCCTATGAGCACCTGGTGAACTTGCTAAAATTGCAACCTCTGTCCCACATCTGTCCCACAGATGTGACTTGGTCGGAATGGAGCCTGGGAATCTTCCTTTTAGTAAAATTGTCAGGTGGTTCGGCTGAAGTGGTCTGGTGACTGCCGTGGAAGATCACAGCTCTAGAAGCTTACACTTGAGATGGGATCGAGGGATTATCTGGCCTTTGTGGGGCAAGCCCGTTTAGGTAGTTTCTACTGTTTGCCATACCCTGAAATCTGGTTTCTACCCCTGCATAATTGCATGAAAATTGCTCCAAGAAGAAGAAATTGGGTCGTAGGTACAGTATTTCTGTGCTGACTGTTTGTTCCTTCTTTTACATTGCCTCCTCCCTGGGTTCCTCTGAGTTTGCGTCCTCTGTCTCTTTGCCTGTGATCAGGGTCACCGAACCGTGATGCCTTTGCCCATGCCCGCTATCAGTGGAAGCACATTTTTGTTTTCTGGACTTCTCAAAGCTCTCCTCAGAGTTGAGAGTGGTAATCCTAGCCACTCAGGAAGCTGGGGCAGGATGACCCCATGTTCAAGGCCAGATTGAGCAATTTAGTAGGACCTTGTCTTAAAATTAAAAAAAAAAGGACCCAATGGTCTTTGGGTACAATCCCCAGTTCCATAAAAACTAAAACAAACCTCTGCTTGGTGTTATAGGTCCATATCAATTTTTCCCCTTGAAACATTGGATCATCTCTCTAAAAAGTATGGTGTCTCTTATCTTCCTTTTTTTTTTTAGTCCCTTCTGCATCCTGTCTAGTATCACTGTTATAAAGGTGGGTGCTGTAACTGTGGCAAGATCAGAGCTCTCAGCTGGGGTTAGAGAGGCTGAATCTTCCCCACCTTCATATCCCCTCTAGCATCCAGACGGTGCACCCAGAGAGCAGGAACGGAATATTTTTTCATGAATAATAATTACCATAGAAACATTCACTTGTTAATTTTTACTATGTGTACACATTTAAAATTATTTAAAGGCAAATATTATGAAAAATAACAAGGTAGCACTCACCTTAGGAAGGAAATTATTAATGACAGAGTTGAAGTTTCCCCCACGTATTTTGGTGTCACCCTCCTCTTACTGCCAAAGGGGAATTTTAACCTCCATCTGTTTATCGTTCTTGAGCTTTATACACGTGGTGTATCTTGCATGTAGGCTCTTGCAGAAGTGTTCCCTCCCTCCTTTCCAACCTCCTTCCCTCATTCCTTTCTTTCTTGGAAGTGCTTGGAACTGAACCTGTAAGGACTTTGCTCGTGCTAGTCA